AAAAAATGGTAAAGATTGATGAAGGTTTAGAGGTCGCGCCAATGATTTGGATTTTGTATGGAGATTTTGGTGAATTAGTATGGGAAATTATTGATTTTCGTTTACATTGCTCTAACTTTGGTTGTAGTTTTCCAAACGTTGAAAAAAAAATATGTGGTTGTCATGACAATGATCAACAAGCCTGTTGTTGTTGCGATGAAATTGGCGTTGTTGCCTTGTACATATTCATCTGTCAATTTACCCTATTTTGCCATTTTTTCACATTTTTATAATTCTTGATACGCTGCAAAACTGAGCGTAGCAACTGTAGGCTTTTTGTTTATTGCCATAGCAATAACATACTAAATTTTTTCGACATTTGGACAAGTAGAAGCAAAGTTATAGCGATATAAGCGATTTTTTAAATTCTTCCATAGTAATTCCCATACAAATTTCAAATCATTGGCGCGACCTCTAAACCTTCATCAATCTTTACCAATTTTTGCACAGGTTCATATTTTGGGGCTATGAATCGAACTGGAGGGTGGCCCATCAGAAATTCATCACTTTTTTCAGAATGAAGCACCCTAATGCTCATGTGGGCTGCAGCTCGCTGCTTACAGGCAGCCTTTCGTTGTGTACTGGAGAACAATTTTCATCAATTGTGGTCCGTTTTGTCGTGATGGTTGAGTAATGCTGAGCTATTAGGGTGTTAAAGACAGATGAGGCTGGTGAGCTGTATGTTATTTGGAATGAGGGTGACGCGCCTGGCATGCATTACAATTAGTTGGTACATCTAACGGATTTTTTTTTAAATTAATGTTATAACTTAAAATTCGAGTTAGGGAAACTAGGGGCAAGAATACCCCTAACGATAGTGCGTTGTTATATGCGATTCCGTGAATATTTATAGGAGTTTATGCAGCAATTGTAAGTTTATAATCTTCTCTCCATGTATGATAATTGAAATTAAAATTAAACCCCATCAAAAATGTTACTGATTTTTTTCAAAATGTCATGTCGTACCTGCTCTTAAGAACGCTACGAGGCAAGAGGGCCACTCTTATGTGGCAAAAAGGCCATAGGTTTAAATTGAAGTGAAACTGGTAAATGTTCATTTATAAACAACAATTTACTATTCTTAAGTATGCCAGCAACTGCTTTTATTGTTTATTCTACTAAAATATTGACTTAACGGTATTTTTCAATTCAAAGCGGATAACATTTTTGTACAATTTTATGCATAAATGTAGGGGTGGCACTCTGATGAATTAAAGAAAATATTTATTAATTTGTTGTAATTAATGCTTCAATCAACCATGACTTCTCAATGCAAAAATTGTGAAAAAAATGAAAACTTTGAAAACCTTTATTTATGAAGCCTTATTCTAATAAAAAACCAGCTTTTCAATACATCAACACAAAACTTATTTTTTTTTTTTGCATTTCTTTTACGACTTCGTTTCGGACAAAATTTTTTAGAATGCTTCCAAGTTTGGTAACAAGATTACAACTCTGGAGAGTATTTTGTGTGGTCGTTGGGGGCCAGTGGCTTTTAATTTGGACAATCAGAACCATTTTTATCGATGCGTGGAAATATTTCTGATCGATTGGTGATAATATTATTGAAATTGGTCCAGGAGCAGCTGAGTTATTAACGTTAAAAATCTATCATAATTGTGTTACATGTTCCATTTTCGGTTTTCACAAAGTGAACCCCCATTTAGAAATCACAGACGTAGTTCTACGTCAAAAGTCATAATCTGGCACGACTCTTTCCGATCTGAATGAAACTTTCAACATGTTTTCAGCATTGGAGATTAAGATTTTTCCACCGATCACGAGACTATTTTGACTCAAGACTATTTTTTAAAGGATGTTCGGATCAATTATAGAATTTGACTAAATTTTTGCAGCAACTTTTCAAGCAGCTCAACTGTAATATATATTTTAATAAAGAACTATTTCACCTTGAATTAATTACTAAATTACTTACAAGAAATAGTCCCCTCTAATCCCTTGTGCCACGACACTGGTTATGCTGCTGTTTTCAGTTCCAACACTAGTTCTAAATAGGTAAGTTTAGTTTCTAATTATTTTGCTTCTAATCTTATTATTTATACGTACTCACAATCAATCAATTAATTTAACTTGTTTACGGAACTATTCTGATAGTATCTTCAGCTTCTGGCAGGTAATCATCCGATTTAGAAAGTCAACCCTAATATTGAAATATGTTATGTCACATCTAGTAAGTATAGTGCATTTCATTTTGTTTACTCACGGAATAATTAGCACTAAAGTAAGAAACTATACATCGCATACATCTCGCTTCTCACATCTCACTTCACGGCAGGCCGGTCGCGAGTACAGCTGAAGCCCAATGGTGTCAACAAAGGGCTTACGTGTTTTCACAAATCAATTTTTCAATAAAAAACTCTAACTATAAAACCGTTTATTGTTTTGAAATTGTGTCTGGAAAGAAGTTGTAGAGAATTGTCGATTTTATAGGAAAAAAAAAAATATACACTGAAGAAAAATAGTGTTGAATTTTTGCAAAAAATAAAAATAAAAGCATAAAGTGTAAATACCATTTTTTTTTTAATTTAACGTACAATTTATAAAGGTTAATTCAAAATCAATCAATTTCAAATAAAAAAGTGACAGGAAGAAAAACTTATCATTATTTTTTTTTTAATTTGATGAGTTTGAATGTATAAGAATATTATAATAATTGAATATGATTTTTTAGGTCATACCAAATAAAAATAATCTTGGTGACCAACATCCTTAATGTAGCCGTTTTTTATATATATTGTAAAAATAATGTTTAGAAAATTGGAATGTTCTCGAAAATATGCAATTTCATGAGTTTCTAGAGATTCTTCATCTGCAGCGGTACAATTTAAAAGATATGCGTAGAATTGCCTATAGGTCACCCTTTGACACCGAGAAGATTGGACATATTTCTCTTTTATGTTTGTCTCAATTTCAAATGATATTTTTTTTTAATTAATCATTTATTGGAATTTATGTCTAGTAACAATTTTTATAGATGCATATATTTTTACATGTTTTGTCTTAAGCAGTGTTGGGAAAATTTCAAAAAAATCAAATCTCATCAATTCCCAAGATTACGCTTGATTTTCGTAAACAAAAATCAACAAGCATACAACTGCGGTTGATTTGGCAGCTGTGATTTCGCAGCTCGGAAAATCAAGCTAACTTAACTCACCAGCTGCAAATCTCAACAAACTGTGGTGAGATTGAGTTTCATGATTTTTGCTGTACACTCGAACGCCACTTCGTTTTTGCCATCGGTGAAGAGTTAAAAGAGATAGTAAGCTATACTTTCTCTTTCTAAGAAAACGATGTGCAACGGAATTTGTGTCGAGTCAACTCTCAACTTGATTTATGCATGTTGTGAATAGTCTCGCAATATCAAAGGAGCTTGTAAAATCAAAATCAAGCATGATATTTTGTTCCAATATCACGCGTGATATTGAGAGCGTATGAGAGTGGAATAATATCAATTGATTGAGAGTTCGTTGGAAATGCTAACATGAAGCTTTAGTGTGATGATTTATTAGCTAGAGAATGATCTTTAGAAGAGGGTAGGTGGATAGTTCCGTTAGAGTACGGCAGTATGAAAATTGAATAGAAGTTGAAAATGAGCGAAGGGCCATTAAAGCGACAGTTTTCAAGATAGACGCACATTTTTGCCTAGCCCGTACGATGTACGCGGGGACTTGAAGTATGTCTCCAAGTCCACAGGCAAAAATGTGCGTCCCTCTTGTTGCTCATAAACTGACTGCGGCTGTGGAATAGTTCTAGCGACGTTTTCATCACTACCTAAAGCCCCACGTTGCGAGAGCATTTCCAGTCGATGGTGTGTTATAATGCAGTTCTTCTTTACCCAACTATTGTGTTGCTCCTCTCGTCATGACCAACGTGATCATCTCAGAGAGAAAGCAGTAGGGTGGTTGTTGCGTGCTGTACCATCATCAGCATTGTTGACGGCTACTCCCGCCTTGAGTTGTTACATTCAAAGTGTTTTTTATGTTACTTTGATTGAATTGATTGATAATTTTGCCAACACTGGTCTTAAGCCTTATTTTTAATCTTTACCTAGATACTATGTAAACTTAAAACCTCGTCAGTCGAAAGTAGTTTCGCACCCATTTTACTATCTGAAATTGGAATGAAGCAGTGATATTATTGTGTGTAAAATTATTGAGCTATTTATAATTTCCACGGCGTGCAGATTAGCGTGTTCAGATTAAAAACGGTCACTATACGAAAGTCAAACATATATCCTATTTTCCTCTGAAGAAGTGCTGAGAAGTTGGACCGAATACCAAACGTGAGAATTTGACTGATAAACCGAAATCAGATATAGTTTGAACCTCTACAGTCGACCTCTAGCCCATCAGTATAGGGGAAGCGCATCAGTTATAGCATTTGTGGTCAACTAATTGGCCATACGTAAAACCTCAATTTTTTTTAACAGGTTCATAATTTCTTCCACAAGAATTTATGCTGTTCTGCATGCCTACATTGAACATCGCGGGAAGACTAATTTTGAACATTATTAAGCCAATTTGGGTCATAACTGGCGCACTTCCCCTACCTTTATTAAACTGGCGCAAATGTCACCCCGTGTAGACAAATCTTTGTGGCAACTTGCCCGAATAAAATCCATTGTGAATCCATTTCCTGAATCGATTTTATTTGATCAAAAATTCAATCCAATTATTTTACTTATACGGAACGGCTCATTGTATTTTTTGTATTGAAGTCTACCTTAGCGTGTGGCATTTGCTAAGCCATAGTCAGTTTCAAGACTTTCCCAAAGTCTTAGTTACAAATCCTGTGAATCGACTCACAAAAAGATGGTTTCCCACCCGCATTATTACTAGCAAGCTTAACCAGTTATTCAACTCGCTTCGTCAAGTGGCAATTAAAATTCTATCCCTTCCCTAATAAACTTTTCAATTTCAGGTAGAAAGTGAAATTCCAGGCTAGTCTAACACTTTGAATGATTGAACCAGTTAGTAGTTTACCGATAGTTGCACAGTATAGACATAAGAAAGCTGCCACAACATCCATCATGGTAAGGGAATTTACACAGCATTTATTTTCTGCATCACTATTTGTGATCTTCTAGCAACCATCAAGCTCATTCAGTATGTTCCTGCTGGTGTCGATTGTCCTGCACACATCCACAGCTCTTCCACTGATGAAATATTTGAGCCCGGAAGAAAAATCTGAAGATGGAGAACTAACGACAGCCCTAGCGGAGATCCGGCCAGAGCTTGACGACGATCTTCCCTATATCCGTTATGGAACGGTTATGCCAGTGCTGAAAGTTGTTCTTACGCCAATCGGTGGGATCGGTATAAATTAGAATGAAGCTACCATGTTACTAATTAAGTTGTTATCCCCGTAAAGGACGAATGGTGCAACCGATGATCGAACAGTGGATCGCGGACCGCTTTGGACCGTATATAGACTCGATCGGGCGTGCAGTCGAAGGCGTTTCCCGGTATGCAACGGATAATCTTTCCTTCCAGACGGGTGACACGTACTACACCAAGAGCGATCTCATCGATGGGTACGGGTACAACTCGTTGATCATCAACCTTCCCTCGGGCAAAACGATGACTGTGCTGACCAGTAAATCAAAACGAAAGCTGGATATATTCGACGAGCTTCCACAGCTATCGGAGGCACTGAACGAGGTGCGCAAACTGAAGTAAACGGGGTGGGCTCAATCGGAGGTGAAGATGCTATTAGATGATTAGCGTAATTTTAGGCTTTTAATAGGATGATTATTTATTTATGTATTTATTTATTTCGCGAGATCCAAAGTCGTTGAGAGTCATCATAATAGACGAGAGTGTACATTGAGAGGCAGTATGCAAATAAAAGCGTAACATAGCACCGGCAGACATAATAACTAGTGTGATGAATACTCGCTCATAACCGATGACATTGGTCCGCATTTCGAGTGGCTTTCGAACTCTATTCGTCGTTAATGTGTTTGTATTTGATGTCTTCTGGGGCATGGTTGTATTGGTTTTCTGTATGTTGCTTGAAAAAAAAAACGGATGAATTATGGAAATTAATAAAAGTGCCAAGTCATGCTGCAATTTTCGATGTTCCTACAAAATCTTCGTTGAAGGCTAGATTGGCAGCCCAATAGTTGTAAGTGGAAGACATCATTAAAGCATGTAGGCATCTTGGAAATTGCATGATCTTTGCTGTGTTTGTCAAGGATTACACGAATTTAAAGGTGATTCTAATCTAGTGCATTGTGAAAACGGATCTGAGACACTTTGTTACAGTTTCTGTTCACGTCAATTGAGTCCGATCAGACGTTGATTTGCTCACCAGAAGTGGTCAGGAGCACTTCTAGGACTGACCCAAGAACCAGAATAAAATTCATACTATCGTACCGTAAGTGGGGGTGACAATGGGCCAAAAATCAAAATTTGTCGTTCCTTACCTTATAACATTCACATTTTAGCAAGAAAAACAAATTTTAAGCATGTTAATATATTTATCAATATGGGAGAGACCCCGGCGTAGTGGTTAGTATCCACACCACTCACGTCAAAGTCACGAGTTCAAATCTCACCCCGGACAAGTCACGAATGACCCAAGAGCGTTAAAGTGACTATAATAAAAATATATATATATATATAAATGGTTGATTGAAATTAATATCTCATTTTACTAAACTTAAATAAAAAAAAATGACCAATGGTAATCCTTATATGGGGTGACATTGGGCCAAAGCATAAATTTGGTTAAAACATCTTAAAATATGCAAATGTAACGTAGCTATTAGGAGTGCACTTGGTTATGATAACAATGTACTTCGTATGTATGTATGTAACTGATTAATGTTATCTACACTTTAGTCACATAACATACACTACCGATCATAAGTTTAAGGACACCCCCAAAAAACCATGCAAATTATTTTGTTCAATGATCTCTCGCTACAAGGAGGATGGGGACCAAAGTTGGTGCTTCATGAAACGTAAAGAAACGTTAAACTCCCCCTTGTAGCGCCCCCTTTTTCTACATAGCATAGCTTCACAGTGGAGCTACGTAACCTGACCAAAAGTAAAAGGACGACAATATTCAAACTCAAGTTTATTAACTTAACGTGTACACCATGCCACATAACTTTATAGCAAAATTTGTAATAAATACTATGTTTACATCCAGTGCACAGTGGGCCAGGAATAAAACCAAGCAGGAAAAAAATAATAACGCTCTGGGATTGTATCCAATTGAGATGACGTCTTGAGTAAAGTTTCTTTGATTATTTAGGACTACAATTTGGTGGATGAATATAGTACAAGTTTTGTTCGCAAAGATGGCGCAACGATACAAACTTTTCTATGTCGCAAGATAGAGGTCTTGTCTGTCTTGGAAAAAATTGCCATCTTCAAACAACTGAGATTTAAGAAGTTTTATAAAATTTACCTGAAATTCACGGTTTTAGTATTATAGTTAGAACAATCGTTAAAAAAAATACTTTTATCATTTTTCTCCGATCGGTACTGATTAATCCAATCTTTTCCAGATCAATGCTAATATTTTTAGAGTACTGAAAAATATGTCAAATGAAATTAGTAGAAGTACATGATTTTCTGAATAAATTTTCTAAAAAAATGTGCAAGTGAACGCAAAAAGTCATCAATTATTTAGGGTACTAAATTGGATCTAATGTTCTTCGAAAAATTACATATTTCTGCAATTCAAGAAAATTTCGAAGTTCTGGGACCTAAAACAAGATGATTTATGAGGCTTAGAAAATTTGGACTTGAACCTAAATATGTTTCATGAATCTTGAACTAAAAAAGAAAATTAAAAGATGTTATTGCTGAGTTCCCTATGTAGGTACATGCAGACTCTATGACTATGAGTAAGCTTGGACTTGTTTCGTTGTTAGTGACATTTTCTCAGTTGTAAACATTGGGGTGACCCAAAAACATTTTTTTTTAATTTATCTTGCTTATCCCTAGAATGATAGATTAGGCTATTAGTAACATTAGAAATGAAAATTCTCTAAAAAAATGTTCATAGGTTGCAAGCCTAAATTTTCTGAAAGTAATTTTATCAGAACAATTTCCAAAAATATATTCAAAGAGTCATACAAATAGATCATATAAAGTAGGTCAATACCATGAAATTGTAGTACGAGACCCACACACAATGTTCGGTTTTAATTTGTGCCAAGAAAGTAGATTTATTATGCGTAGAATTTTTTTTATCAAAGAAATGCAACTTTTCTAAGGAAGGCATTTATTGAATTTTATTCTTTTCATTGTATTGTTCTACATTTTAGAAGATTATTTTCAATTTTATTTTATTTCAAACAATTTTATAAATAACTTCAACAGCATATTTCCTCATGGACTAACCAATGTTGAACTTCAAGTAAAATAAGAATAATCCAACAATTAAAAAAAAAACTACAAGGGACAGCCCTATGGGGCTGTACGCAATGGTGACGTAGGACTACGTGGTCTTATATAATAAATGTTATTTGTTAACTGCAGCAAGAGCTTGTGTTTTGTGTAGGAATAGGAATTTGAGCGAGGTTCTCTCTGTTTATAGTCAAGAATGACTATGATAGCCCTGATAAGAGCCTTTTGATATGATTTTTAGTTCGGCAGTTGGGGGAGCCTTTCGTTGTGTACTAGAGAACACCACCACTCACCACGCGGTGATTGAATAAATACTGTTCGATGAGACCGGATGCAATTCAACTTTGAAATCTGTGTTCAAGGTTGCAAAGACTCATTTCAGCTAAAACAATGTTTTTCTAAATTATGAAATAATTAGATGCCATGATCAAATTTTGAATTGGTAGGATACAAGAAGAGGTTGCAAAGAATGTGTTTGACATATTAAACCTGTTTATTTCACTTCATGAGAGTCACAATCATCGATGTTTCACTAACTCACTCACTCACTCAGCGATCAGCAAATCGCTGATTGTGACTCATAGAAAGCAAAATTTACAGGTTTTATGTTTCCAACGCATACTTTGTAACCTCTTCTTGTAAGTTACAAGTAAAACATGCCATCATACCATTCTTGGTTTTATTATTCCGAAAAACATTATTTTAGCTGAAATGAGTCTTTGCAACCTTGTCTGTGTTAGGGAAATCGCTTTTTGCAGGCAATCGGTGATAGTTTTAGTTTTCATAGAAACAGTTGCACATTCATGCAATTTTCAATAGTGACATTTTGTAAAACCATAAAGTCTTGATTTAAGAAACTTCGTATAAATAGAAAAGTATTAAGAATTAAAATTCATCATCTCTGGATCAAAATAAGACCACTTACAAACCTCAAACGACTTTGGTTTATGAAATTGCACCCCCAATGCATGGTATGTTAGATTTATACACATGGGAACTGACATCCGATTGATGGCCTTAAGAAATGTCCAAAACTACTCTTTACAAATTTATGGTGGTCCTGAAAAGGACTGTTTTGTCATGATGGTTGAGTAATGCTGGGCTATTAGGGTGTTCAACACAGATGAGGCTGGTGAGCTGTTTGTTGTTTGGAATGAGGGTGACGCGCTTGACATAGATGAGCCACAGCGATTCACGAAGAGCTACTGATTTCGATCAATAGCGATGCGGCTTCTTCCTCATGCTATGGATGCACATGTGGGCTGCAGCTCGCTTCTTACAAGCAGCCTTTCGTTGTGTACTGGAGAACAATGTTCAACGCCACGCATCGAAAGCACTGTTGCTGCTGCTGCTACTGCTACGTAACCACCAGACACGGTTATTGGAACTGATTCCGATCAACGGTTGAGGACAGCCTTGATAGCTTGCTGCATGCGGAGAGCCTTTCGTTGTGTACTGGAGATCACCATCACTCATCACGGGGTGATTGAATAAACGCCGTTTGGTGAGACCGGATAGGATTCAACTTTGAAATCTGTGTTAGGGAAATCGCTTTTCGCAGGCAATCGGTGATAATTTTAACTATCATAGCAACAGTTGCACATTCGTTCAGTTTTCGATAGTGACTATTTGAAAAAAGTCTTAATTTTAACAGATGCGTAAAAATATTTCTGATCGATTTGTGATAAAATTAATGAAATTGGTCCAGGGACAGCTGAGCTATAAAAGTTCAAAATCTTTCATAATTTCGTTACAGATTCCATTTTGGGTTTTCATAAAGTGTACTTCCATATATGAATCACAGACGTAGTCCAACGTCAAAAAAAAAACGATCGATATCAATTATTCATGTTAATTCAGCTCTTCGTAGATCGATCAGAAATTAAAATAATTAACTTTCTACAAACTACTGCAAGATCAACTTTATCAATATTAACTGGATTATTTATATATATAAATTATATTGCATTACTCATCTAAATTAAAATGAAGCTGATGAAGCAGAACAGGCAACAAGAATACATTACATAATATACATATATTTATTTAACAGGTTATTTCTCGTCATGTATGGCATTATTTAGATGAGATTGGATTTCCATTTTATTTTTAGCTCTGTTAGTTATATACCCAATATTTTTTTTTTCATTCTTGAAAAATATCAAGTATCATTCGAGCTAAAAATATTTATTTGCATAATATAACCTTGAAATTTCAGTGTTAAATCCACCTTATATTGGGAGCTCAGGAGGCATAGAGCTGCATTTTATTGCATGCAAAATATTTATTATTTTCATTGCAGAATATCAACTTATTTATCCAAATAAATGTATATACATTATTTCATATTTAATGTTCTGATATATTTCTTTTCTTCATTACGTAAACTTTCATTATATAAATAA